CGGCGAGGGGAGGGAGGCGCCTTGGGGAGAGCCGGGAGCGTGCCCCCGGCGGGCCGGGGGGGGAGGCGGGAGCCCTTCTAAGCTTGTCGCCTCTGCCGAGTGACCTTCTGCAAAACCTCGTTTGTCGGCCGGCTGATGTGGGGGAAGCGGGTGATTCCGTGCGGTCCCCGCCTTCCTGTTTGGCCGGTTCCGCGGTGTGTCCGGGAGGGAGAGGATGGGGCCCTCGAGCGGCCTGACGGCGGGTTGGCTTTTCACCGTTAGAGGTTCTGCGGCGGCTGGGGAACCAACAAGGGGAATAAGCCGGTTGGCTGAGAGGCTTTTTGGCAAAATCCGTGAGCAGTCAGTTTTGGGGTCGTGACTGTGAAGCGGGAAATTTGTTCCTGACCCGAGGAATAGAAGTAGACAGGATGGGTTTCTCTGCATGCACGCCCCTTGCAAGCTGAATTAGGCAGCCTCTAGCAGAATATCCCGTTTCCCTCTTTTTCTTTGCTCACCCCAAATCTGAGGTAGTTTGCATTGCAGAAGCAAAAAAATGGTGTAGTGTTCGGACACGATGTTCTAGTGCAGCATCTGTTAAATATGGAGCTGTGACAGAGCTGGATCCATCGGTGACATATTAGAGCCACTCACTTTACTCCCTGCCTCCTAGTGCAATGTTTTGGATAGCTTACTTTTCTTACTCATCTAGTTGTGTCTTGGTAGTTGGGAAGAAATCTTGGTGACTTGAAACATGCTCTGTGTTGGTCTCCGCTCTGTCTGCTGGACTGACTGGGAGCCACAAGGATTTCTTGTAATAGCTTACAGAATCAATTCAGAGCACGTGCTACAGCACTTGTTAGAAAGAGGTGGGCTGGCCTAGCAGTTGACAAGATCAGAACAGCCTGACAGAGGGTATGGGTGCTAGTGCTAGAGCACTGCTAGTGAGACTTACCTGGCATTTTTGTTCTTGCACATTCCAGAGCTGACATTGCTTTGATTGGACTGGCTGTGATGGGTCAAAACCTTATTTTGAACATGAACGACCATGGCTTCGTGGTAAGCGAAGGAAAACATTGTTCAGAAAGGCTGACTCACTAGCACTTGGGATTGGAGCTGAGCATTTTGTGGTTCTCCCCCCCCCCTTGTGATGGTCTAATGGGTGTTGTTTCCTCCTTTTACTTACAACCTGGGCTGCCCTTTGTCCCATTTCCAGAGAAGAACATCAGTGCATGCCTGTACTCAGTTATCCACCTGATGTGTTAGTTATGTATGATTTTTCCCTGAAGTTTGCTTTGGGCTTGGCCATTAACCGTAGGTTCCCAAGGCACTTGCAAAGACATGCTGCAGGTTCATCCCTGCTCCGTGTCTTCAGGGAAGGTGGAAGTGGGAGCGCATGTGATGTTGAACCTTGCTTATATAATTAGTAGTCTGAGCAAAAGTAACTGTTCTGTTGGCAACTTTTATTAACATGTTTTCTTGCTCCCCCAGGTTTGTGCTTTTAACAGGACCGTTTCCAAAGTGGATGACTTTCTGGCCAATGAGGCCAAGGGAACCAAAGTGATTGGTGCTCACAGCCTGGAAGAGATGGTCTCTAAGTTAAAGAAGCCCCGTCGCATTATCTTGCTGGTGAAGGCTGGAAATGCAGTGGATGACTTCATCAATAAATTGGTGAGGCAAACATTCTTTCTACTTGTGACTTCTAGCTGTCTTTTGGAGAAGCTTCCTCTGGAAGTTCTCAATTATTTGTCATTAATGAGGTTTTGAATGCATGGAGAAAACCAAAATGCTGATTTATTTTTGGCAGGTGCCGTTGTTGGAGACTGGAGACATCATAATTGATGGTGGGAATTCTGAGTATAGAGATACCACGGTAAGCCTGTTTTCTACCCGAAGTGGACAAATAAAATACATGTGATTCTTTCTCCTCTGATCATCAGAATAGTCAGTCAATAAGATGTCATCTCCCCTCTGCTCAGGGAAGGCCAAACTGAGTTATCTCTGCAAAACTAGATTATGCAGCCTATTAAAAAGCAATTGTTACAGTAGTTAAGGACTGTTCTATAAGTATATTTTTACAGAAGTTGCCCAAATCATCAAAGAATATTTTTACTGATGTCTTTTAAAGAGTTGAAGGCCTTTAGAAAATTTCCTGTTAGAGTCTTAAAGAGTTTTCAGGGAGATTTGAAAATCTAAGGATATTTATAGATTTGTTGTTATATCTCAATCCTACATGACCGCGGGAAAATCCAGTAAGACAGAACTGCTGGTTTGGCTGTCTTGGTAATGAAAACAGCAGAGTAATTATCTGTTTTTAAAAAAAAAAACAAACAAAACTGCTTGTGAGCAGGCTGTAACTATAGGTGTTATGATAGCATATCTGAGATGCTTACATGAAAATATTGCATTCAAATCGGTACTTCTGAATCTTAGAAGGGGTGCCGGTATTAGTCTTTCTGCTTTGATATCCTGATCTTGGATAAGCGAGTTGGCCATGCTACAGTAAAAAACAGGTACTAAATGAAGATTAATACTTGGGGAGCTTGCAGCTCCCTTATGGATCTCAGCCTGTGCTTCTCTCCCACTCAGAGGGAATTAGTTTCCCTTAGTCCATGCTTGCACCTTCACTCTGCAATGAACTCGGCAACTCCACCTTGGGCCTATCTGCCTCCTCCACATCTTTGCACACAGCATGTATCACCTGACACTTAATTCTGAGCCTTTTCCAGCCTCAGTACTGCTCTTTTCTATCCGGTGCTTATAAGGCCTTTGTTTTCTCAGCATGTCTCTTTTGCAAGGATCCATGTCAAAGCAACAGGAAGTTTCCTAATGTTCACTTTGGTGTGTGTACAACCTTTCTCTAAGGTTGTCTTATAGCATGTCCAAAGCAGAATTGAAAACATAATTTTAGGTCTGAATTGCTAACCTTTGTTTGTAAGGCTCTGGCATTAAAAGAAATTAAATAATGCTGCTCTGCTCTTTGTTCCAGAGACGTTGTAAGGAACTAAAGGAAAAGGGCATCTTATTTGTCGGAAGCGGTGTTAGTGGTGGAGAGGAGGGTGCCAGATATGGTCCTTCACTCATGCCAGGAGGAGCCAAAGAAGCCTGGTAAGCATGAGCTGGTATGTTCTTCCTCAGAATGGTCTGCAACAATCGTCTTCTATTCACGTTGAGAGCTGACGGAGGGAAGGAGGAGGGCGTGGGTGTGGAGAGAACAAGATATGTAGCCATCTCACTTCCTCAAGGCTCAAGATTTCTCAACCTAGCTGGGGTCACGGGGCAGTGCTGAGCTTTCATGGCAGGCAAAACAAAGGTAGGTTTTTCTTCCAGGAATTCACAGGCAAAAGTAGTACCTACAGAAATCTGAAGGGAGAAAGGAATTTTGCTTAAATTTTAAAAAAGTACTACTTCTTGATTATGATTTTTCTTTTGGGACCCTGTGCACTTGGAAAGTGTTAACTATGAAACAGGCAGCAGCAAACATCTCTGCAGTGACACCCATTATAAAAGGAGGCTTCAGTACATGTTTGTACTGACTATTGAATACATTAATTTTTTTGCAAGTTTCTGCCATGCTGCCCTGCTGTTTTGTACTCATGTTACTGTAAAGGACTGTACATCCGTGTTCGTATTAGACTTTATCCCAGGTTGTTCATTCTCTCTGTGAATGTAGAAAGAAAAGGTGTGTCCGGGCTTTACCTGAGCTTTAGAATCTCTTAAGTCCTTGTCCGTTTGCGTTAGCATTTCATACCAATATCAGCCTGTTCAAATTTGATGGCACAAAGCCAGAAACAATGTAACAGTAATCTGCTGTCTGATCATCTTTTTGCCGTAAACAGCTCAGTAAAGACAGCTTCTATTTGCCACCCTTACCTGAACTTTGTCCCCCCCTCTTTCACAGCACCTGCAGCCCACGTGCCACCCATGCTCCTCTCCCAGTGGTCGCTTTAGGTTGCTCCAAACTTGGCATTCTGTATTGCTGTCCTGTTGGCTAAGCAATTTACTACACTTGGGGAGCCTGGCAATGACAAAAGCTCCTCATTACTGAAGTAATGCAGATAAACTATATCCTGACTTGCATTCGTGGAGTTTCTTCCCTCTGTCCCTCTCCTCCTCCAGATCACCCTGGATTTTTCTTGTGACTATCAAACAGAATGGGATTTTGTTTCAGCTCTGCCAGAGCAGATCATCTCTGAGTTTGAGCCTGTATCATAACCTGCCTCTGTTTCCCCATTTCTAAAATGGAGAAGATAATATTTGGGCTCCTTTAGGTACATTAAGCTTGTCTGCACAGTGCTGTAAGCATGACATGGGCTGTCCCCATTTCTTGCAAACAGTGTCTAGTTCTGGGAAAAACATACATTTTATTTGACGGTGCTGTGTGGTGGGTTATCAACCTGCCAACATGCCCTCACCCCAAGCTGCCTTTTGGCAGGTTACGGAGGGATGCATCATACCAATGGATTTTTTTCTTGTGGTGTTTGTGTCCTCTGTCTATCTGCTGAGGCATATTATTTCTCCCCACAGGCCCCACATCAAGACCATATTTCAAAGCATTGCTGCTAAAGTGGGATCTGGGGAACCTTGTTGTGACTGGGTAAATATTTATTTGATACTGACCTTAACTTGTGGTTAGATCCATGCTTAGGTAGTTTGATTGCTGAAGCTCATGCATGTTTGTCCTTAATAAAACCAGTGACATTAGTGGGTTGATTTTCTGGCTGACTGCATTCAATTCAAATCTACCATCTCTCATAACTTATCCCATAGGATAGAAAGACAAAGTTTTATGGCTGGGTCATGTGCTGGGGGAGCTAAATGGATCCATGACCCACAGTGTTTTTGGTTAGCACTGAGCTTGCTTCCTTCCTTCCTTTAGGCGGAAGGAAGCTGTGGGCAGGTATTAAACACTGGAAGTGGTGACAGCATTGTTGCTGATGGCATTTTTTGATGTTTCCTGACAGGTAGGAGATGAGGGCGCTGGACACTTTGTGAAGATGGTGCACAATGGGATTGAATATGGAGACATGCAGCTGATCTGTGAGGCCTATCACCTGATGAAAGATGTGGTGGGCATGGAGCATGATGAGATGTCAAAGGTGATCTGTAGTTTTTTGTGTCTTGCCTTCTTGAGCCATGGTGGCTGTCTGCCATTGACGGAGGCAGCTGGGCTTGGGTAAAGCTGCTGTATGTACATGAAGTTAATTTTTCTGACACGCCTTCTGCCAGGGGCAGTGCACAATATTCCTGAGCTTCAAAGAGGTAGGGAGCAGCAAGCACGTACATCTGAATGTTTACAGAAGTTGTCTAAACTCTCCCATTCTACAGCTGATTTCTCTCCAGGAAGCACATTCTTGTGTAGAGATATGAATTACCTTGCCTGAAAAAAGCTAGTAAAACATTGAGCATTGTAGTCGAGCAGGCAAATCTTGCGAAGACCTTGTTGAAGCAGGTTGATAAGTATAATGTGCGTTGAAAGAGCAGTTGTGTTTCTAGCCTTCAGTGCCTATGATGATAGGCAAAGGGATGGGCTATGCCTCTGCCTTCCCAGTTGGAGATGGGTGCTCTGCAGCTCTGAGTCTGGGGTGTGCTCCTTCCAGCGCAGGGCTCCTGCACAATGGCCTGTCAGCAGTGCTGAAATCATTGGTAAATGTGGCAGGGTACCAATAACCAGTAACGGAGATAGCATGACCCCCTTCTGTATGTGTACATATATGTATGTATATGTATACATACATCAATAAATCAATATATACAGTAGGTACACAGTAAATCAGTGTGTGTGTATATGTGTGTGTGTATAGATATACAATTTTTCTCCTTTTCCAGGTATTTCAGGAATGGAATAAGACAGAGTTGGACTCTTTCCTGATTGAAATCACAGCCAATATTCTCAAATTCAAAGACAGTGATGGCAAATATCTCCTCCCAAAGATAAAGGACAGCGCAGGACAAAAAGGCACAGGAAAGTGGACAGCCATTTCTGCCCTGGAATATGGAGTTCCTGTCACACTCATAGGTAACTGGTTCTTCGATCTGGCCTCTTCTTTCCTACCTGCATGTACCACATCACGATAAGGAGCATGTGTCGTGGTTTAACCCCAGATGGCAACTAAGCCCCACACAGCCGCTCGCTCACTCCCCCCACGGTGGGATGGGGGAGAGAATCGGAAGGGGACAAGAGAGAAAACTCGGGGGGT